AGCAAATGGTGGCGTTCCTTAGGCTTAACTCCACTTTAAAATTGTTGATAATTCTGGTAATAAAAGGCATAAAAACCTTAATTGGAACATAAGAACAACATAATTCACTTTTAAAGCAAAAAATGCACAATTAACCAACTTATAAGAATAAGAAAATTGAGCTCACCGGAGGCGGGTAACAGAGTGGCAAGATATATGTGGGTGCGACCGATTGCAACGAAAAAGAAAGATGTACAATTACATATTAGAGCAGTTCCATAATACAAAATTTCAACGTTCTGCGTCTACTAAGATTTCAGTTTATTCGAGATATATACGTACCTACGTACGTGCAGATGTCATGAAAAAAAATCTCTTCTGAATGCATTTTAAATTCATTTTACCGTCCGTTTGCGAAAAAAAAAATGTCCTTAATTCTGTCCATACGTACAGATGCCACGCAAAAACATTGTTCAAATGAATTCGATATGTTCAATGGATATTTTCTTTGAAATATTATACCCGAATACAATACTTCCTACGAGGAAGTAAAAATGGGATACGTTTAACTCAGATCAAGAAAACGTGTATAATTTATACAAACCTTAAACACAAATATTATCGTAATTAAAAGTGAAAAATTGAAGAAATGCTAATTGATAGGATCTTTATTACTGCTTAAAAAGTAGATCCGTGGTTTTAATTTGCTGAAAATTTTTGCTTTGGAAACCTTTGACGCAGTTCATTAAACGTTTCGTAGTAACGAATGCAAAGGTTTTTCAATACCTCTTTTTAAATGCTCTCCTCTTTCTTTATTGGAGTCAATTTCTATTACAAAATCAGACATTCGTGTTGATTTTTTAACAATTGGGTTTTTTTTTTTTATATATATATATATATATATATATTATATCATTGAAGGCTGTTTATATTCTTCACTCTCGCTGCTTTTATTGTTGGCTGGTATTATAAAATCATCCAATCAGTTGGTGTTATAAGATCATTCATTTTTCATTTCACTATCGTCATTATCAACTAATTCTTTGATTTCACCTTCTACCATATCTAGTGCCTGGTCTTCCAAAACTGTAACCCCAAAAATAGGTAGCGCCTTCTAGGTTTAAAAAAAGAGTAAGTTGGAGACTGGCTTTTGGTGGGAGACGCCGAATGCTCAATGTGGTAATTTTATAAATTTAACAATTATATCAACTGATGTATTTCTTATTTGTACAAAGTGTATATAGTTTACGTTGTGCGTGTAAATAAATTAAAGGTTAATCCGAGTCCATTAACTGTGTATAAGACCGTACACCGGCAGCGGCTGGATCTTACAATATTCAAAAAATGCACCTTTTGCACCTTCCTTACGATTTCCTTGGCTTCATTTTCAATCGATAGAAATCTAAAATTGACAACTTCTGGCCAGCACTGATGCTGGCAAACATTCTTTGTTGAGGAAGTCCCTTGTTCCCATTCGAGTTTAATCATTTGTGTGGAGTGTTTTATTCTGAAATCCTTGCAAAATGCCATCAGTGTGTCGTGGTTTCCTTCGTCTAGTGCTTTGTTTGCAGAGATGTTAACATGCCTGACATAATAGGCTTTGAATGATTTTATGACTCCTTGATTCAAAGGTTGGATTAAGGAAGTGGTACTCTGCGAAAGGAATAAAACCTCTACTTTTGGATGCAATGACGTGAGTGCTTCAGTTCTGTATCCTAGAGCATCCTAGCTAGGAGAACTTTAAATGTCGCGTTTTATTTTCTAAAGCAATATTTGTCTTTTTTAATGAATGAATTTTCAGATCAGTCATTAAAGAGGACTGTCGCAAAGTGGCTGACGCTCTATATTGTGCTGCTTATAATTGAAATACAGAATTAAAAACTGTGTATGCACTACTCGATTGCCCCGGTCTTGGTGTCTCTCACTCTGGCGTAATAATGTATGCAGAATATTCGAAAAAGGTATTTACAGGTTTTATTTAATTAAATATTGATGCTGTATATGCACTTCCAGTTCTAAGGTTAAACTTAATTTGGTAATTCCTTGTTAACCAAAAGGTTAACAAAGAAATCGAAATGGCCCGCAACCATTTCAGATTTGCGCCAAAATCTCAGCTGTAATTTTGCCATGCTTGGGAAGCGCGAATGTAAAAATAAACAACACAGTACATAATAAGAATACTCACATGTCGTTTCGCAAGAATATTTTTAAGATTCCTTATCCTTATTGTTTTATCGCATGTAATTGTTTCAGTCAACTGCAAGCACTTTTACTCATATTAAGCTATTTATAACACCATTTATTTCATTCACGTCAGCTCCTCTGTCCAAGAACAAATAAATCTAATATCAGTGTCGAATGATATTCTGGAACCCCTGAATTAATTTCCGACACGGAGGCCGTTCTTTTCGCAATTTTAAACATTGCACCTCCAGAGGGTTTCATCGTTAACGTAAAGTTCCATGTTGTGGTCATTTTCGCATTGTCAGGTAAGGCCTCTTTTTTGAAAAAATGATATGGCATCCACGTCATTTCTTAGTAAATGAAAGATTGTTAACGTTATATTAAAAAAAAAATTATTTTTAAATAAACAATACGTAAAACTTTTCAAAAATGCATAATATAAGAAAAAATGCAACACGGCACTAATATACGATTACGTGGCGAGGTTATAAAAACAACATCCGGTTCTAAAATACGGTCACGTGGCGAGGTATAAGAACACGCAGCGCAGCCGTTGCTAATATACGATCACGTAGCGACATATAAAGAACAGCCAGATTTTGGCGAACTACAACCGACTTTTCATCCTTGTCGTTATTTAAAGTCTAATGAATACAACAAGAATAAAAACAATTTGAAAGTTTATTAGTACTGGGTGTATTTAATTACGTGGTTTTTCCCATGTGTAACGTGTATACGAGCCAGTTTCCCTTACGAAGTCCTCCACAAAGGTATCTCTTCTCTTAGGCAGATAGCCCTCGAGGCTTTGCCGTGATTAAATAACCTAACCTAACCTTGCACGTGGCGCTGTCATTTCGTCTATTACTTATTTAAAACTTTCACATTTGTTCTATGTCTTAAAATGAGAAATTAACGTTAATGACCTAAAGCTGCAATAGTATATTACAGTACAAGTGAAAAAATTGAATGTTTCACTCACGCGTGTGTCGGATTTGCGCAATACTTATGGAGTCCACAAAATTTTTGTAAATATTATGGGGTTCTGGGGATCGCGAAAAAATCTCAGTGATAAAAAGGGGTCGCGACTGAAGTTTAAGAAACCCTACTTTAGGAGAATGAACAATTTTTTCTAAATTTGGTATATCTTCTAAAAACCCTGTCTGTTTTGTTGTTGTTTCTTACGTATTTCTCTCGTTATTATTTATTGTTTTATTTATTCATTGTTTCACAATAAAGCAATTATTCTGAAACTATAAAATATTATTGTGTGTGTGGTATTTATTTATTGTTTTACAGTAAATAAATTCGATAAATATATTTTTATAATGTTTTTACTCACTTCTTTGTATTTTTAATAGCCAACACGTAAAATTACTTACTCGTTCATTAATACGATAGGCTAGGCAAACTGTTCCGTTTGGTTATGAGTCCCACCAGTGGCCGAGCGGTAAAGTCACTGAACACTGGTTGCTCAGTAAGAGATTTGAATCCCACGAACGGACTGGCTTCATGGGCGTTTTCGTGGTTTTCCTTATGTGTACGTGTATACGAGCCAGTTCCCCTTAGAAAGTCTTCCACGAAGGCATCCATCCTCTTAGGCAGATAGCCTCCGAGGCTTTGCCGTAATCAAGTAAACCAGAGTTTCTTAAACTGTGGTCGCCAAAAATTTTAGTAGTTTTTAATATTTCTTCAACTTATTATAATAATTTTACAATTGGCAAATATTTTTACACAATGTATCTGAAAATGCATAAAGACGATGCAGACAAAAAAAAAAAAAAAAAAAGCGAAAACGTTTCGACGCATTCTTTCTATAATATAAACGCTTACTTTACTTGCTTTGTACGTGATGCTGTTATTTATTTAAAATTTTCATATTGTTCTATGCCTTAAAATTTGAAATTTAAGTTAATGACCTAAAACTGCAATAGTACATTATAGTTGAACTATCTTCAGATCAAGTGAAAAAATTGACAGCTTCACTCACGCGTGTGACGGATTTGCAGAATGCTTATGGGGTCCCACAAAATTTTCGTAAATATTATGGGGTCCTGAGGTCGCGACTGAAAAAAATTTTAAGAAGCCCTGAAGTAAACTAAACGGTTTGGTCATGGAAAATACGGGCAATTAAAAGTAAAATTTTGTCGAAACCCTAAAATAAACCTGTGGCCAACCGAACATTTTGTACATGTGTTAACATTAACATTTTTCTTATAGAAGTACTTGAGAATTTCTAAATAAAATTTGTAAAGCTGAAAATGTTATCTTTGGTGAACAGTGCTTTCAAAGAAACCAGTTCACATCACTGATTTATTATTGCTCATGGATGCTTTCCAAGGAAAGAAGAAAATGAAGTTACTCTTCTTTTCCCCTAATGAAAATCTTGTTTACGATGGCCTGTTATGGTAAAACTTTTATGTAGCCTATGACGTTTTATGCAGCATTCATTTAGTCTTTTTCTTCTTCCTTCTTCTGTCCATCCCGGGAAATACGAGATGTGGCTCTTTTTTACGTAACTGTTAAGAAAATCACAAAGCGCTCCTTTCAACTGGAGAGCGTCAATTACCTCGCGGAAGTTTCACTGGAGTCCCACGCATGACTGGGCATGGAATGAAAACAGTATTCTTCATTTTCCTCTTTATTCCGTCACTCATAGTATCAGCTGGCCTCACTTCGCTTCGCTTCTCTTTTAAAGGGAATTTATCGCGCATAAACGGGGAACAACGCTTAGAACACCAAAGTCTTGCCTGCCACCTTTGTACTTTTTCACTGTGATAATAACACCGCTGAAATATCACTTTCCCCTCCTTGATTGATAGCAGCGAGCGACGTGGATTGGGAAAGTTTTTTCTGCACAGCCATGTTTTTAAATTCGCTACGAAACACTTGTTTTTATGGAACACGTCGAAGTTATTTGTATGACCAATAACAACTGCCGCGTGTGTAAACTGGCTGTGGAAAAGACCGAGAATCACCACGTTTCCATTTGCAGTGAAATACAGATGAGAGTTTTCATTAAAACTCATTGCCAATGTACTGCTGTTTTGTGCCAAGTGAAATATTCAAAGGAACGGTGAGTGAAAGTAAATATTCATGTATACAATTTTTTTAAAACTAGTTGATAAAAAAACCGGTTAACTCCTATCGAATTCTGGACATTTCATAATATTTTTTTTTTCCCCTCGTGTTATATTATTTTCACATGTTTTATTATCAGAAAATGTGCGGAGATTAGAATATTTAGAATTTCATTATTTTAATAATAGATCGGCACAAGTTACAGTATATTATTTCCATTGTTTTTTTCAATTCAACGCTACTTCTTTTATTGCTTCTATTGTAAATAATACTTCCTTTTTTAAAAATTAAGCTTCCGAAGGTTATTTACCTAGGCTTCCAACTGTAAAGCTGATCTGAATACACTTCGCAAATTTGGAGAATAGGGGAAGAAACTGGTGAACAGAAGATAAGTAACCTTACGTTCTCTACTTTCTTTTCCGGGGAGGGGAAAAAAATAGCGAAACTTTCATTAGCATTAAAGGGGACTCATACACCTTAAACCCCTTATGATCTTCGAATATGTGACTGTTGCAAGAATTGGGATATTTTATTTATTTTAAAAGCAATTACTTCCAACTTCTTACAGCTGACTACATAATATAGCTGCTTTGGAAAATAGTAACCAGAAAGTTTGTGTTGCCACAAATATTTTTGTAATTTAATCCTCTTTGTGACAAAATATTTCGCCATGCTTCCACCTTGCGCGCATGCTATTTTAAAAATGGCTGATGGTACATACTTGAAATTGGATGGAATTCTTTATATGGGCACTACTTTTCTAACTGAACCAAAAATCTGATGAATATTTTAACAATAAAAAATTTTATGCGACGAAAACATGACAGATTTATGTTTAATAAAATGCATTTTATAAACTCAACTCCAAATAAAATAAAAATTTATCATCAAATTCTTAGAATTTTAGGTTTACAGTAGTTTCCAAATATTATAAAAGCTCTATATTAAGTTATGGAATTAAATTACGCAACAGAATGTTTTAAACTGTGTGCGGAAGGTGGAAACTTGACGAAATATTTGTACCACAAAATCGGATTAAATTATAAAAAATATTTGTGGCAACACAAACTTCTGATTACTATTTCAGAAAGCAGCTATATTATGTAGTCAGCTGTAAAAAGTTGGTAGTAATTGCTTTTAAAATAAATAAGTTATCCCATTTCTTGCAACAGTCACCTATTCGAACATCTTATGGCTTTTAAGGTGTATGAGTCCCCTTAAGAGCACACTTTGCTTTCATGTAATTTATTCGTAAGCAGTGTTATAACTTTCTTTCGAAAGGAGATATGTTGCTGGAATTAAAAAGAAGCATAATTTAAACAAAGGGTCTAATCCTAGTATCCGGTGCACACGGGATTTGGCTACTTTATGATGAGCAATAAAAACGGGACATATACGATGAGTAGTAAACGGGTCATTCAAAGAATATATATAGTTATACATAGTATATACTTAGTATATAGTGTATAGTATATACATAGACGTTGTTTGAGTATATATATAGTGTAAACTGCATAGACGTTGTTTGGGTCATTTTTGGTGTTGGCGATAATTTTCAAAATCGCGCCAAGGCTTCACCGTATACTAGGATTTTACCAAACAAAGTATCCATTCGGCTTGAAAACTGCTAGGGCAGTGGTGGCGAACCTTTTTGGGGCCGCGTGCCATTCCGTTTGAGATATTAAATTAGAATTTTTCACGAGTTACCTCAAAATCCTTAGATCTGAAAACTGGAATTTGTTTAACAATGAAAGTATTAAAACTCATCGGCAGTCTGCAATAAATTTGAATTCGTTTAGCAAGCGTTATCTACTTCAACTTTGGCGTATTCTTTGCCATGTAACAAGTAATATGAATGGCGCAAACAATTGAAACGTTATAAATTGGGTTAATAAATATGTATATCATTTCTATGGCGATATATAAAAATCTTATATCTAGGTTTAGGCCCAATGCCAGTGGCATTATGCGGTAAGTAAGTAAGTGAAACGATCAAGAACAGACGAAAACACTTATTTAAATTATATAGTATCATTTTATTGTGCTTATTATTATTTATTATTGAAGTAATATTTTAGTCGCGTGCCGATTGTGGCACGCGAGCCATAGGTTCGCCATCACTGTGGTAGGGTAATGGATTCGAGTTGCTTGCAGCTCGAACGTTCTACGAACGTAAAAAAGCTACGTGGTTGATCCTGCCAGTAGTCATATGTTTGTCTCAAAGATTAAGCCATGTATGTCTAAGTACATGCCGTATTAAGGCGAAACCGCGAATGCCTCATTAAATCAGTTATAGTTCCTTGGATCGTACCTTACTACAGTAAGACCCCGCTTAACGCGGGGGATACGTTCCATCGAAGTAGAGCGTAATGCGAAACAGCGCTAAGCGAGGCTATCTTAACATGTAAATAATGGGGTTAGGGAAAGGCGGATAAAAAATGGTTAGGCATTAACTTTAATAATGTTTTTTTTAATAAAAATAAAATCAACATTTATTTCTTACAAAATAAAAACAATATAAACGCATATACTTTTAAAAACAACTAAAATTCTCAGTCAGATCATTCAGTCTATTCTGGGTTTCCATTTCCTGCCTTTTGTTGTTAAGAAGGCATTATGATAATTGGCTTAATGGCATATTGCGTTCAATTTCGTCGTCAATCCATATAGACAGTCGTTTTTCCATTTCCTCTATAATGTTATTTCTAGAACGGGTAATTCTAGTTGCAGAGCTTGACGTAGTTGCAGTTGCCGATGACGGTATTTTTTCTTTATTCTTAAGAATTGTCCTTATTGTTGAAGTTGCCAAAATCAATGCAGCACTAATTTGAGATTGACGTTCACCAGAATCTAATCTTCTAATCACTTGCATTTGAGTTTCCAGTGAAATGCTTTTCTCTGGTTGCTTTCTTTTCTTGTTTTTTATTATCACCCATGATAAAAACTAAAGATCATAATATTTGTCACTGTATTAATCGTTATAGTATTATACAAATTTAAACTTACAATAATGTCAACAAATGTTTCAAATGATAAAAATGCGTCCACCAAGCAAGAAACACAACTACACTGTTTCGGATATGTTATTTGGAAACCTAGCGCTGCGCACGATTTCGGAGAATCCCCGGGTTGAAATAAAAGAGCGCTAAACCGAAACAGCGCTAAACGAAACAGCGTTAAGCGGGGTCTTACTGTACTTGGATAACTGAGGCAATTCTAGAGCTTATACATGCAGTAGAGCTCCGACTCTTTGTACATACAACAACTTTTAAATGGTACATCCTCTCCTCTATTTTAAATGTATATTCATACCAAACTTCATTAAAATCTATCCCTTAGTTTTTCAGAAATTCGAATTTGTGATCAAATTCCATTACTGTTGCGCACGAGTGTAGTTACCCGGATTCTCTTGTGAGGACCAGCCTATTTTTATCAAAGGTTATTTTGCTATTAGACTATTGTCACTTTAATTTCTAAAGCTTATTTTGCATTGCTTTAGAATAATAAAATGCGGGTTGTTTTATAACGAGTAAATAGTTAATATTAATAGAACTTCATAAATATAAAAAATAAAATTTCTGGTTTATAATGGCTACATAAGTTTTTATAATAGGCTTTCAAGACAAGGATCGTAGAAATTACATTATGATATTCAAACAAAGATTTTTCAAGAACTATTAAATTTTATTATGTTATTTAGATTATTTCTTGAAAAATTTAGAAATCTAAATTTGCGACACTTTTTATGATAATTGCAGAAAAAAAATACCTGCAGACTTTAAAATTGGATTGAGAATTTAAACAGAGCTCTAAAATTCGCATCTGCGTTTTAAAATGTTATGTAAAGAATTTTGTTATTTAAAAAAAATTATTAGATTAAAATTTCATTAATTTTTTTTTCAAAGTTTTGTTTCCCTAAAGCTCTAGTGCTTCTTTTTAAAATGCCTTATCTAAATGAAACCTGTAAGTCCTGGACTTACCGAACTAAAACTGTGCAACGCCGCAAAAATGTTTTTTCACGGTATTGATGGATGGAAACATATACATATATTAATTTTAAAAGCATACTTTAAGAATCAGGTTAACTAGTGCAATTTATCCGTAATTTAATTATGTTTAATCAGTTTTTGTAATAAAATCATTTGGTACTATTCAGTTTTGAGGTCTGTAAAAAATCGCCAAACTACTGTTGATGCCAGTGCTGCCAAAAATAATTGCGGCAACCCTAATGCTAGACAGGAAGTATAGTAAATAACTATCTAAGATTGATTTTTAAATTTACATGAAAGGTTAATTTCATGTAATGCTTTTTTATTATTATAACTTATATTAAAAAAAGGCTAAACATGACTGAATGGAAGAATAAGTGTAAATAACTATTTCAGATCATTATTATTATAATTTATGCAAAAACTGCTAAACATAACTGAATCGCTGTTTGCATCGCTGTTTCGCTCAGAGTTATCGCTAAAGCATAGTTTCTTCTCGTTGGTTGTTCAAACATAATTTTCTATAATGAATGATGCTTTTTCTTTGAAAAAAATTCTCGGTAAGTGCAGAATCCCCCACTTATTTGTTTGCAGCTTTTTACAAGGGTAAAAACAATAAAGTCAAGGGTGTGCGCAGTGCCATTTTTGTGCAATTCTGGGATTTTTTTTTTTTTTGAAGTGAAAGTAGGTCGATGTGTACATGGATACCGAGTATGTGCAATTCTGAAAAACGCGTCTAGCAGTGGGTGATTCTGCACTTTACCCAAAATTCTATTGCACACTTTTCGTCATGGGCCATTCCCAAATTGTTAAATCCATAGGATATCAAAAAAGAATTTAAAATAATAAAAAAAAAGGATTTAAAAATTAAACTAGTATTTCAATGGCGTCTTGAGAAATATAGAACTATATAAACTTACGCAATCTGAAATCAACGCGTACGCTAGATTTGGCGCACTGTTAAATGGGCGCGTTTGATAGATTTAGCGCTTTTGCGCATACATTT